TGTGGATCCAGTGGTGGTGGAAGTATCTCAGCACTGGTGTGGGTCTCCACGTGGCTCCTCCAGCTCCAAGACTCTGCCATCAGCCTAGGTCCATGTGTCTTGTCAGCAAGATTGCATTGCAGAGAGTGGAGTGTGGCTCTCCTCCAGCAAGCTCTCTGTAGAGCCTCCAAATGAGGTCATTAAGCTGCGACCTGATTGACAGGCTAAACTCCACCCCTTTACTTTTTCCCCCTACCCCTTCACTCTTAATAATCTCAAATTGACATCAGATTATGTAACTACCACAGACCCTCCCTTGTCAACTTGACACTTTTACACAACTCTTTAGCCATTCATAATCTTTAAATAAAACAATACAATCATATCTTTACCTAACAGGATAAAACATGCCTCCAATTCAGTACGTGCCAAAGCCTCATGGAAACATAATATTCTATAGGGGACCAACACAATATTCTATACTTATGTGAACACCTACACCATGATCCTATGAACATAGTCCCCCAACTAGGAACGTTTGTAAGCCAACCACTTCAAGGTCCTTCTTATGGTCCCTAAGATAGAAAACATCCAAACCCCCTGACATCAAGCCAATTCTAACTCACAGCCTCGCCTTAGGGCCGAGCAGAGCTGTCCCCCCGGGTCTCAAGGCTTCTACAGAAGTAGATGGCCATGCTTCCTCCCATGGCGCAGCGGACGGGCTCCAACTGCCAGCCATTCGGTTAGTGCAGAGCTGAGCACTTAAGCACTGTGCCACCAGGACTCACCTTTCCCTAAGATTGTCCGCGAACAGCTTCTGGCATCTAATGGTGATGAGCTGTTGCCTGCTATCCAATGGCCCTGGCTTTGCATTCTCCCCGCCCCGCCCCACATAGTTTTTAACACTTTCAGAATCTGGTCAACGGTTTCACTATAAAGTGTCTCAGTGGGTGTTTGCAATCTGTTGTGTACGCTGCTTCCTCAATTCTGGAACCTTCCACCATGACTGTTTCCAGCATTATTTCTTGGCTGTTTCCTCTAGAGCGAGGCGTAGCCCTCCGAGTGCGTCCCCACATCTGCACTGCATTCTAGATGAATTCCTCAG